AATCAATGGAAAAGAAGCATGTGCAAAATAAAAGCATCAAATTGTTGAAACATATTTTGTTTTAGAATTTTTAAGAGAGATTTTTGCTATAGGGCACTTGAGCTCACTGGAGAGACAAGAGAGAGAGAAGAGAGACAGAAAGTGAGAAATCACCCCCAAAGGGGAACAGGCATGCCACAATTCCTTCTCCTCCATTCTCCTCTCAGGATTTTGGGCACACATGCACATGTGCCCAACATCAGTCCTAAGCCACCAGGTCAGGGACACAAGCCATGGCTGTCTACATGGGAGTCCAGTGACTTAACCCTTACGCCAGCTGCTGGCCCCTTGTTTCAGAATGTTTTAAAGCTAGCATTTGTACTATGAAGATGCCTGAGATTCTAGGAATTCATCTCAAAGTAAATAATAAAACAGTATTGTGAAAAAAATATTTTTTGTACCAGAATAAACATATACTTTAACAAAATTGAATTTTCAAATGATCATATGGCTTATCATTCAAAGAAATATGTATAGTGGAAAATCATCGGAGAAGCAAAATTTGCTGTTCTTAAAATTTTTATCCACATATTCTGCTAATTAGTTGGTGATCTAGTCCTTTTCATTGCTAGTAACAAAACATTCCTGAGTTTGGGCAATTTAAGAGAACAGAGATTTACTTCATTCATGATTTGGAGCTCCAAAGTCAAGAGCATAGTTCTGATGGTGTCTTGCAGAGTTCCAAGGTAGTACATTACCAGGGCAAGAGCAAGAGTGTCCATGTCCATCTGTCTCTGCCTGTCTCATTCCCTCTTCTTATAAACTCACCAGGACTCAGTCATGGGGGCCATGACCTAATGACCTTACTTCTAATCACTTCTCAAAGACCCCACTTGAGTCTGATAAATTTATACCCTTTCAATCCCATGAAAACTAAATCCTAACACATGAATTTTGGGGGGATATACACACCAGAGCAGGTGGGTCTCATGGGACTGGCATCTTATTTTTCTAGTCTTCAAGGGAATGGCAGTTGTGTGAAGTTACTTTAGCTGTCTTCAGGGGAGAACAGACGATACAATAGCGAGCACAACCTACACGTCTCATAATACCAAATGGTACAAATTTCAGGTTTTACTCCAGACTTCCTTGGTTGGCTATCAGGTTCTCAGTGGCTGACTACTGTTTCCTGAACTTAACAAAATGGGTACATTATACAAGCCTATTTCAGATTCACCCCATTCCAGAGACCGATTATTACTGGTGTATACAAATGACAATCCTTTATTAACATTTACATAGTGATACACATTAAAGTGAAAGTCATTTCTGGTTTTGTGTGTCCCAAAAATAAGCCTATGCCCACAAAGAATAAAATAGTAAGACTAAAATGAAATGAAAAGTCATTAACTGCACAAAATATCTCCTCCTAGAATGGGAGGGAGGTGCTTTTCAGGAAATTTTCAGGCAACATACTCCCAACCACCTAGGAGACTCTAAAACTGATTTGGTGTTCAACTATAGTACCTAGGTTTGTTTAATGCTTGTTGTGAAAATAATTTCACTCTACGTAAGTTTCGTAATGTAATCACCACCTGGGGAGAGAAAGAAGATACAAACAAATTGCCATACATTTCATGGCTCTATTGAACATAAATAAGACAAAATTTATCCACCACAGTTTCATGATACATTCTCCTTTAAACATGGCCCCTTTGCAAGCTACTGCAGCAAGATACTGGAAAAACGTAATGAGAAACATAAAACACGTGCAGATAAAGTAGGAAAATAAATGTCTATTCTGCATCACTAAGAGATGCCTTGGTTATTATCCTTATAATGTAGTGTCTTGACATGGTTTTATTCCCAAGTGTTTGTAGTAATTTTTCTGCTACCCCTAAAATAAGGGAGTTTTATCATCAGTGGATATAGGGTGGTTATAGCACTGCCTCTGGCTTTAGTTTGATTAAGAACTTATTTTACAGGAAAGTAAATCATGTTGCCTAACTGAAATATGAGAGGCTGGGACAGAGCAGAACTCCAAGGAAAACCATTTACTCTTCTCTTATTTTTAAAAACGTGAGTTTTTGAAATCTTATTCCTGATCTGACCTGTAAGAGGTGGATTTGATTATAGAAGCATGCTGGTTTTGCAGTCATGTGACCAATGTTTCTAATATAGTTACATAACCAGGCCAAGCAAGGCTTCTCGCAAGATCAGAAAAGCTTGTCTTTCCCTTTCATTCCTGTCTAACCCTGCTTTCAATGACTGGTTTCACAAAAAACATTTAGAAAACCACTGAGCACCATTAATAGGTTATTGGAAAGTGCAGAGTGACTGCCCAAGGACAGGAAAATGCACTGGCTCTTTTTAGAAGGACCTGCAAAAGAGCTTGCAGACCATTGCTGCTGAGTTGGCATTAGATGATTTCCTCTCACAAGGTTATCTGCGGTAACTGCAATTTAGTTGCTAATGGAACACAGGGTGCAGTCTGTCTTCAGGCCTAGGCTTTTCTTGTGGATTTTTTTCCTAGTTGGAGAGTCTTCATAGTAATTTGTCATCCTCTCTTATTATTTATTTTTTAATATTTTTTCGGTACGGGATGCAAATACTCACCAGAGAAAGAGAGACAGAGACAGACAGAAGGAAACTGAGAAAACACTCAGGGAGGGATGGCCACACCACAATCCCTTCTCTATCATTCTCTTCCCATGATTTTGAGCACACATGCACATGTGCCCAGTGTAATTTTCATGCCACTGGGTTTAGGACTTGAAATGCGGTTGGTTATGTGGGAGTCCACAGCCTTAACTATCATGCCAGATGCCCCTCTCATCCTCTGTTGATAGTTACAAACTCTAGGCCAGAACCACTTGCATAACACAGTTAGATCATGACTTGTTTTCATAAAAATAATTTAGCCATCCTCATTATCATCAAACAGAATTTTAAAATTGGTCAGATGTCCAAACTAATGTGCAGGGCAGCTCGTCTTTTCTTATTTAGAAGTTGTTCTACATTTACTTTATATTCTCTTTTAATTAATTAGGATATATTCAAGCCTTTTTTTTTTTTTTTTTGAGAGGTTTTTGCTATCGGTCGCATGTGCTCACCAGAAAGACAGAGAGATATAAAACGAGAAATCACCCCCCCAGGGGGTATGGCTATGCCGCAATCCCTTCTCGTCCATTCTCCTCTTGGGATCCTGGGTACACATGCACACGTGCCCGGCATGAGTTTAAGCCACCAGGTCCGGGGCTCAAACCGTGGTTGACTACATGGGAGTTCAGCGACATAGCCATTTCTTCTGATTTTTATATGTAATAAAATAATGCTTCTCTATAATCATTTAATATTTCCTGCACTTATGTGCATCTTCATAAGAATCACATATTTTTGGCTGGTGACATCAGGGTTATAGTGTTGAATCCTATGTGGCCAACTGCAGGGGTTGAATCTTGGACCCCACAGTTTGAAGAACACAACCATGTGTGCCAAAAATCCTGATAGGAAGAAGAATGTAGAAGGGATTGAGCATGATCCACCCCCATGAAGGTGCTTTTTCCACTTTCTCTCTGTGTCTCTGGTGATCACATGTGCCCTCTGGCAAATTAAAAATAATAATTTTAAAATGTTTTGCTCTAGCAAGCACACATGCCCTATAATATAATAAAAATCTCTTTAAATAAATAAATACAAACCCATAGCTGATAAAATCTACCTAGTGGTCTCTACCCACCTTTATCTATAAATCCAGGTCATAGTCAGCATTTTAAAAATAACATTTATAAACCATTCATTTTATTTGGCAATGTGCTAATCACTTCATATTTAGCTCCTTTAATCCTGACAATACCTAGAGGGAGGTATTGTTGTAATTCCCATTTTACAGCTGAGGTGGGACCAGCAGTTAGAGCAATGGCTATGTTGCTGGACTCCCACGTAGTCGACTGTGGTTCCAGTACTGGACCCGGTGGCTTAAACTCACACCACGCGCGTGTGCGTGCATGCCCAAGATCCCGAGAGGAGAATGGAAGAGAAGGGATTGCGGTGTGGCCATCCCCCCTGGGGGGTGA